ACATGAAAATAATTATCCCATTTAATTATTCATTAAATTTTAGTGTCAGCTTATTGATAGCTCGATTACCAGTCAAATAGTTTCGATGTTTTCTATACTATGAAGAAAATTTGATCTGATTAGATTAATTCAGATGTAAATTTATGTTATACGGTAAGATATTTTTAAACAAACCAAGAAAGTTCTCTTCAGACAAGTTCTGGTCTGAAATTGCAAATATTAATGAAAAAGTTATACATGTAGTTTTCTATTCATAAATGATATTATTGATTTTATTCTAGGTGAATGTATCGAGTCATATTATATTCTGCAGAATATATTGAGAAAAATGGTAAACTAACTAAAAGTGCTAACAAAATTTCTTAGGAAGTTATCGATATACCTAATTATTAGAAGCTGTAACAAATGTTCAAAGAGTCAGAGTATACTTTATTAGAAGTGTGTTAGATAGAATTATACACTTTAAAGAAAATATCTTTTATTATGCAGGTAATGCATATTGTGTAATGCATATAATATGTGAAATCTATTATTACATACAAAGATTGAAAATTATTTAAACAGCTACCTGTATGTTGTCTCACAATCTCATTTAGTGAATGGGTTATTAAAAATTGAACATATTTACACACAGAATATTGTGGATATGGATATCTGGAAAGCATGTTATAACCATTTTTATTTTTAGGATTTATGAAATGATTACATAAATATACTAACAACAAATTGCAATGCATCTGTATATTAGAGACAAAGATGAAAGAGAGTAACAAGAATATATGTATTCAAAAGAAAAATATCAAGACCATTTGTAGTAATTAAAATTAAAGAATAAAATACATAAAATGTACCATATGATCGAAAAAAAAACGGCGTCCAGTTGGCTGGGAAATGACGATCAATGACATTTCCTATATAAATTTACATATAAAATGACAGCGACCTTCATTTCATAGCCATCGTTGACGCCGTTTTTTCTCGATCATACGGTAGTTTATGTGTGAACAAATTCTCATTTCATATAAAAATTGGAGCTCTATCTAGAGTATATTTGAATATAAATGTTTTTATGTATTGGAAGGGGGACTGTAGTTTTCAAATATAATAAAGAAAATAGACTAAAAAAACATGTGTGTAAGTTCTTTTTTAAACTATTCTGTAAGTTACGTAAATGTGTTTCAAATAGGTTGCTTTTCACAATAAAGTCAATACACAGTAATTATGCTTTACTTTTTCAAAACACACTCTTGTTTTTTATTATCAGAGAGTTATTAATATTAGAAAATTTAGTTACATGAATATAATAGGAGCAAATATTATGTTTCAAGTTTCAAGTAATTAGAATATGATATGAGTCATAATAGCTTAAATATGATTGCTCATAAAATACCTAGTATATACACATTTAGATATATCTCTTTAAATATAAATTAGTATTGCCACCATGCGATTAATGGGAAATACAATATGGTCGTGAAAAAAAAAACGGCGTCAGCGATGGCTATGAAATAAAGATCGCTGTCAATCTATGTGTAAAATTTTATGGAGAATTTCACCGACCGTTATTTTCAAGCCATTCTGGACGCCGTTTTTTCCGACCATACGGTATTTCTAGGTATGGAATTATGTCTCTAATATGTAGTTAGGTAATTTTTTCCATTTGCCTATTGTTAATTATAACGTCGTCAAACTATAAAATTTGCTATATTTTTTAGTTAATTTTTTTTAGTAATATCAAAACATGTTTTGAATAGTTTAATTAGTAATAAAGCTACTAACATATTCAGTTATTCTTTTTTCTATAAAGCTTTTTTGATAAAAAAATGAGTATACCTGCTAAGACGTTAAATTGCCTGAGAAATTACGATCGATGCCATTTACCATCCACTTTTACACAATAGAATGCCATCGATCGTAATTTCAAAAGCAGAAAACTTGCCGCCGTTTTTTCCAATGAAATGGGCGGTGGGGAGAAAATTACAGATTCCTGTATTATATTAACGACTAACGACATTATTAATCGAGTGTACACAAAGCATGTACACTATTAGAAATCGATCTAATTTCTAATAGTATCGAGCTTTTAAAATTCGAGAAAGTGATCGGAGATTGTGTTTAAAGTGTTGTGAAATGTTCGTTAGTGCATATTTTTGTGTCGGTAATCGGTATCGGTATAGGCAAATCGCGATGAAGTATACAAATCCGGAGAAGGTGGATATGCTAAGACCATAGGTACTTAGCAGGGGAAAGCGCTGTAGAAGCTCGGAGACTTATTCCGAAGAGTATCCAAATAGATAAATCCCTAATGCTCGAACCTTTGTAAGTATGGTTCAGCATTTGAGGGATTTCGGAAAAGCAACGAAGAATTGCTGCAAAACGTTAAAAATTCCATGCTCAGAAGAAGGAGAGCATGTAGTGGAAATGGAGGTCGTCGTGTTGAACAATTATTGTAATAGCATGCAGTCAAGAAGCGAAGGGTATACCGGGTGGTGCATCATCGTTGGAAATATAGGATATTCCATGCAAATTTTGAACTGTCGAGATATTGGATCCCCTTGTGCAAATTTGTAATGTATCTTTAAAAACCATTTACGATTTAGCTCTAAAATTAATAGGGGAGCCAATATTTCCACAGTTGAAAATTTGCATAGTGTTGTTAAGAATTGTAGTGAAGTGATGTTATTAAGTGTAGTGTTATGTGCAGTTTTAAGAGTGGTAAAATGGAAAAAAAGAAAGCTCTGCAGTTGTATCTCTCTGCTATAGGGATATCTTTTTTTATTGTTTGGTAAGTTTTTTTTCTTTTAGTTTATTTTGTGTAATGTGAAAAGTAGGGCTACTGGCGATCACCCACTTAAAAAAAGTAACGCACCTCTGCAGAACCTCTTGGATGGTGTGGGATTTTGCAAGTACTTTTTAAGTCTTTCTAGTCGATGTGGCAACAGCGGGCGGCGAACAAGCTGAGATCCGCGAGATCTCTCCCCCGCGCCGGGGGATCCGCGAGATTCCCCGGCGGCTCTCAAAATGTCGCAATTTTTTTTTTAAACTTTCAAAGTTAAATAACTCGGTTATTTTCAATCTATTTTAAAAATGGTAAAGAGAAAATATGTTTCTTTTGGCCAGATCTACCACCCCTTAAAATATCTGCACTCATTTTGGGACACCCTGTATATATATATATATATATATATATATATATATATATATATATATATATATATATATATATATATATATATATATATATATATATATATATATATACTGCATTTGAAGACTGTGACCCGTTTGCTCGGAGAGAATCTCTGCGTAGATCTCCAACGAGAGTCAGAACCTTTTCTCAACCGTGTAGTGAACCTTACCTTGAAGTACAACGTAACAAAAGAAAGAGAGCTGATGGTGTACCTGACGAAAACATTAGCAAGGAAAAAGTGTGTGAAATATATGGAAACGCACTTGGTAATATATTTAAGTCGATAACGAAGCTTGAACGCATAATTAAGGATATGTACAAGCCCAAGCAAGAGATAAAAGATATAGCGACTAGGTTAACTTTACAAGCCGAAGTACTGAAAAGTAAGGGACTGATGGAATGGATTAAACAAAGTAATGAGGGACGAAACCTAACTGGTGACGTTTTACGACTAGAAGAAGAAAATGCAAAATTAAGAGAAGTGGTTAAAAGCCAGGAAAGAAACTAAAAAATCTTAATTTTTCCAACAGATTTGAAAAAAAGCTAAAAGGAGGAAAACTTTAATGGAAGGAGAATCTTATGAGGGTTTCAAAAGAATAACAGAGGAGGACTGGAACGATGAATCATTTTCTAACATTCGCGTTATACAAGGACATATCTGGGAAGCTCCTGCAGAGTTTGATATTATCATTCCGTGCAATGAAAATATGGAGCCATCAAATAAAGAAATTAAGAAAGCTATGATAAGGATAGGTGGTATGGACAGCCTTAGACAAAAAAAGAAAAGGGTTGGAGAAGTAGCCTTGATGGTGTGTAACCAAGGATTTCCGGATGCAGAAGGTGCTATAATATTTAGAACCAAAAACATATTTTACCCTATTACGAAAGAGAAAACTGATGTAGATGAAATAGAAGAGTTAAGGATATTTGAAAGCGTCATTGAATTAAAAAGGCTAGTTTTGAAACACAACACAAAAAAGATGGCTATTCCGGACATAAAAACCCCTGAAAACTCCTCTTTTGTTAAGATGGTCGAATATCTTTTTGATGAGACTAATATTGAAATTATCTTATATAAGCCATATAGTGGCTCTGAGCTTGTATTAAATAAAAACCAAAGAGAAGACCCAAGTGAAGGCCAAAAAAGCCTCTCAAAAACCCCAAGTAAACAAAAAAATGAAGCTATAATAGTAAATATTAAGGAGCATTCATATGCCGATACCTTGAGACTAGTGAAAGGGGCAATAAACCCTAATGATCTGGGATAGATCTTAATATTTATAATTAAAGAGAAAAAAGTCATACATATAAAAGGGCTTGATGAAGTTAGTACGGTTGAAGAAGTTAGAAAGGCACTCACAGAAACCCTATCGCTAAAACCTGAATTTTTTGAAGTCAAATCTCTGAGACCTGCTTATGGAAACAAACAAAATGTTACAGTTGTACTAAACGAAGAAAATCCCCAAAGTTTAACTATGTTAAAGACTATAAAGATAGGGTGGATGAATTGTAAAATCCAAGAGAGACAACAGTGCACGAAATGCTACAATTGTTGGGAACCAGGCCATACGAAAAAAGAGTGCACAAATGAGAGCAGAGAACATTTGTGTTTAAAATGTGGCAGTGAGGGTCACAAGGCTACTGATTGCAAGAAATCACCTTTCTGTATCTTCTGTAATAAAGAAGGCCATCAGTCTGGAAGCATAAAATGTGCAGTGAATAGTGGTTTCAAGACAACCAAAAAAAAATGTCTAAATATAAAATAAGAATCCTTCAAATAAATACAAACAGAAGTCGATGCGCTCATGACATGGCCATAGCTACAGCTTCTGAAGTAAATGCTTCAATTCTAGTAATCAGTGAACCAAATAAAACTGCTGTAAAAGGGAGACAAGACTGGGTATGTGACGATAATCTCGACGTAGCCTTAAAAGTTTTTGATAAGAACCTAACCATAAAGAACCAAGGCATTGGGGCAGGGTTCTCCTATGTTACAACCAAAGACGCCACTATATACAGTTGCAACACATCAGGTAACAAGGAACTTGTACACTTCGAGACAATGTTAGAGGCTATTGAAGAATTAATAAAAAGTCACAAAGGCAGAACTATCATAACTGGGGATTTCAACGCCAAGTCCGCTCAGTGGGGGATGAATTATACAGATATACGCGGACATACAATAGTAGACTGGATGGCAGCTAACAATCTCGTAATTGCAAATGAGGGCATTACACCAACTTTCCAATGTAATAACTACACATCAATTCTGGACCTAACTATAGTCAGTGAAAATGTTAATATACAAAAGTGGACAGTTATGGATAGAGAGTCCCTCAGCGATCATAAGTATATTACGTTTGAATGTGTTAACAATGTACAAGCAAAAAGTATTAAAACTTATAACAGGGGCTGGCGTGTTGATAAACTAAATAAAGAAAAGCTAAAAGATGAATTAGGGAAAATTGACCAGAAGTCTGAAAGCACCAGCGTCAAATGTTTCAATGAACTACTTACCAGAATCTGTGATAGAACAATGGCAAAGTAGAAAAAGAGGAAAAGAGGGCAACCGGTATATTGGTGGAATGAGGAGATTGCGAATCTTAGAAGTCAGTGTTTAAGGAAGAGAAGATCATATACAAGACAAGCGCACAAAAGTCTACCATTATTAAGCGAACTCTGGGAAGAATATAAAAAATCCAAAAAATATCTTAGAAATGCGATTAAAAGATCAAAACAAAAAAGCTGGAAAAATCTATGCAAAGATCTTGACAGAGATATTTTTGGGAATGGTTACAAAATAGCAATGAGATGGATAAATGGCTTTCAACCAAGACCAAATTTGGATATGGATTGTATGGAAGAAGTAGTAGCTTACCTGTTCCCTATACACCCAAAAGTCCGTGATAACTTCTGTGATAACAACGTCTGTGATATAAATCAAACCGTAAACTGTAATAATAGTAATAATAATAAAACGATATGTGATAGAATACTAAGCTTTAATAAGGACGAACTACTGGCGGCTTGTAATAAACTTAAAAATGGCAAAACTCCAGGACCAAGCAATATACCAGCTGAGATACTAAAAGAAGCAGATTTATACCTACCAGTATATGAGCACTTGATACTAAATAAACTGAATGAAGAACTAGACAGCACAGGAGGGCTCTCAAACTATCAGTTTGGTTTTAGAAAAGGCAGACAAACGGTTGGAGCAATTGCTGAATTGCTAAAAAAGGCTTTAGAAGCAGCGGACTGCGCACCGAACAACCGAAAGCTATGTGCTGTGATAACTCTAGATGTAAGAAACGCATTTAATAGCGCATCTTGGCAAATTATTCTGGATAGATTAAAAAAGAGAGGCATCGAGAAGAGATTAATGCGACTTATCGCATCATATCTATCAGACAGGAAGTTGATACTAGAAGCAGATAACCAGGTTAAAACTGTGGAGATTAATAGTGGGGTACCACAGGGCTCGGTATTGGGTCCCACTCTGTGGAATATTTTATACGGCGACCTTCTTGAAACAAAAATTGCTGAGGGTACCAAACTAATTGGATTTGCGACCTGGCAATGGTGGTAGTGGCAAAAACTGAAGAGGCACTGATGAACACTGCCAACACTAGTTTGATTAGAGTCTTAAATTGGATGAAAAAAAAATAAACTTCAATTAGCCGCATACAAGACGGAGGCAATTTTGTTCACAACCAAAAGGAAAATTTCAGAAATACACTTTAACCTTGAAGACGTAGAAATTAAACTCAGCAAAACCAATAGATACTTAGGAGTATGGCTTGATACCAAAATGAAATTTGGCGAGCACATTGATAAAACGGTAACCAAAGCAAGCAAAACATTAGCTGTACGCGTCTACTTCCAAATGCTACTTCCTACTGTCGCGTAATGCTATGTCTACTTCCTACTGTCGCGTCTACTTCCAAATGCCGCTGGACCAAGAGCTTCTAAGAGAAGGGTTCTAGTGGGGGTCATTCACTCTCAACTTCTATATGCTGCACCTATATGGTACAAAGCAATGGAAAATAATAAATATAGGCAGAAAATAAACAGTGTACAGCGTACAGCGGCTATAAGAGTCAGCAGTGCCTACAGAACCATTTCTGCAGAGGCTGTTCGCGTTATAACGGGTATACCCCCAATGCATCTCTTGATTCAAGAACGAGTTGAAACCTACCAAGGAACTTTGAAAACTGAAGCTCGAAATAGACTATGGATAAAATGGCAAGAAGAATGGGTCAACGGCAAGTATGGAAGGTGGACGTATAGTTTAATTCCTAATATTAGAGAATGGATAGTGAGGCCACATGGTGAAGTAGATTATTATACCACCCAGGCCCTGTCGGGCCATGGGTGTTTCAAAAGTTATCTATTTAATCGAACGAAATCACCAACAAACCACTGTGTATACTGTAACGAGTTAGATGATGCTCAACATACCTTGTTCGAATGTCCAAGATGGTCGGTGCTAAGACATCAGTACTATATAGCTATGAACATTCCTTTTACAGCAGAAACTATGATGAATAGCCTGAAAGGAGGAGAAAAAAACTGGACTCTGGCCTATACAGTGATAAGAGGAATCATAAAAACTAAAGAGGAAGAAGCACGTAGAAATACGTAGACAGTCCTCACGTCGAAGAAATGCGAAAGCGGTACCGGCGTGATGTGTCGTAGAGAAGGGGAGGTAGTTTTAGTCAGTAGGAATCTGACACTCCGTCTTATGCAAGATTTCCTCTATAAAAAAATATATATATATAGAGTGCTACAAATTCGAGGTACGAGCATTGGTATCTCAGTAACGGTAATAGATACGAACATGGTTAATTTGAGGCAAAATTGCGCTTTGGGATGTTCACCAAGATGCCATCAAAAAGTTTTAAAATTTTCATGGATTGCTGAGATTTTTGAAAAAACCGGATTTTTTTGAAAATAATTTTTATTTTTCCCTGTCGTTACTTTTAAGAAAATCAAAAAACTAATTACACATTCTCATAGCCACTTTATTAGGGCTATCTGATAGTATTTTTAGATTTTCAAATTAGCTGTTAATTTGTGAGATACAGAGGGCAACTTATTTTTTTATATACGGACCTGCATTTTTTATTTCAGGTTTGGAAACAACTCGGTCTCCTGAGTACAATGATATGCACACTTTATACTTTTTTTTGTTTTGGGTACCTTAACAAAAAACTATTTAATTATAATTTAAAATAATTCCAAGTCCGACTCTGTTTTTTGTTTTAATTATTTAATCTGATTATATTCATGGCAACAATATTGATCAGCGCTAATTAACATTGAATAAGGAATATCGAGCCAATTGGAAGATTCAAATAAATTATTATTTTTAATTTTTTTATTGTGAGTTTGAAATCTCACCAAAAAACCTAAATCCTACGATGGTGGGACCAGGTCAAAGGGATGCGTGGCTAGATAGAGACTAGCCTCTACTGGTCTCAACCAGGGGGCACCCGATTGTATTTACCTCTTACTTCTACATGCGGGGCTCTGTAGAAGTGGACTGACTAACCCTAGCTACTCGTGGGAACACTATGAGATCAAACAATCATAAAAACACCACCGGTGAAGCTGTGGGGAAACTCCCTAGTAACACTGGGAACATTATGAACGAAAGTTCCGAGGGACCAATCCCAAAGGGAACTACCGGAGAGGCGGCTGACACTTGTGCGAGGCCAGCCTCCACAAGTGGTACACAAGCTACCACCTCTTCTAGTAAGGGTCGGGAGTCCACCTCTAGACCTAACAAGCGACACCAGCTACCGTTCCGTCTACCCGGTTTGGGTCAACCAGGCGGGTTAGACGATCCGCTGAGAGTGGGTCTTAGCAGAGCACAAGCACGGAGATACCTCCGACTGCTCCACGAAGGACTTGCTCCGGAGGCAGCAAAGGCCAAAACTCTCCTTGAAAAAGGAATCAAGAAACAACCTGGCGCATCTCCACCAAAGGACAAGAGAGGGAGCGAAAACCTCTCCCCTTTGCTCCGACAAGGGGAGAAAAAAGCCAGGATGGAAAGCCGTTCCACATCGAGAGGCAAGTAGGGACGTATCACTAGCTATGCCGCTATTGCTGGACAAGTGAAAATTGCGGTGCTGCCAAAGGAATATCCGGAGGTTGTACTGACTACCGACCAGCAAACGGCTCTAGAAGAGGCGATACTGGACTAAGTAGTAGCGAGCGGATTGCGACGCAACGATCCACAAAGTGTGGGTCAGCTGCGCTTTGCGGGGATACACTTTAGGGTGGGCATGATCCTCATAGATTGTGCATCTGAAAAATCGGCGGATTGGTTGGTGGAAACGGCACCTAAGCTTAAAAATTGGCAGGGGCCGGGACTGGTTGCAATGAGGGGAGGAAGCATCCCTAAAGGGACAACCATCACGGTCTTTCTGCCAAGAAGCAAGGGGAAAGACCACCTACCTGCTAGACCTTATCTAATGGAGACAAATACTCCAGCCTCCAACTAACAAGTACCTCAGCCAGAGACAAGCTCCTCGACTGTGAAGGACACGGATGGCGTAACTCCAACCGTGAAAGGGTGTATATCCTCGAAGGAGGTTGATGACCACTCCTCGGAGGAGGAACATCTGTTGCCAGGGGGGATGGGAAATACCCTGTCCTCCCTACAATAGGGGGATCCTTACCTACCCCAGAAACCTGATGCATGGGATATCCCAAATAAACCTGCACCATGCAAAAGGGTCTTCCGCCACAATCACAAGACTCTTTGAGAAAAACCAATATGTAATGGTACTAGCCCAGGAACCCTGGGGGTACCAGGGACAAATTACAGGGTTGTCTGGAAAAAATCCAGTGTAATATATGATAACAGGCAGGAATTTCCCCGAGCCTGTATTCTTATAAGAAACAACATTAACTACACATGTGTTTCAGATCTTGTTCCAATCATGGTTCAACTTAATATCGAGGATTGTAGCAAAAATATCGTGATTGCCTCTGCATACTTTCCGTGTGATGGGCAGACACCGCCTCCCGAAGGAGAGGAGCTCGCGCGATTCTGCAGCCAACGGCGACTACCTCTGCTATTGGGATGTGACTCCAATACGCACAATGAGGTATGGGGAAGCACTAATATTAACACTAGAGGTGAGTGTTTACTAGAATTCCTCTTAGCATACAATCTTGAAGTTCTCAATATAGGGAACACCCCCACGTTTGTGACAAAAACGCGGGCGGAAGTATTAAATTTAACAATCGGGAGTGCTAGTGTAACTAGTTACGTGAAAGATTGGAGGGTCTCAACGGAACCTTCCCTATCAGATCACAGAACCATCGAGTTCAAATTAGGAGGAATCATACTCCAAACTGAAATTCGAAGGGGGAATCCAAGAAAAACCGATTGGGAACTATACCACACCAAGCTCGTAGACAACCTGGACCAAATAGATGCAGGTAGGGCTAGGAACCACCTGTATCTAGAATGGTACGCAAAGGAAGTCAGTGGTGCAATATTGGATGCATATGAATCTAGTTGCCCCACAAGTA